CAAGTGTAATCTCGCTGTGATTTTATGAAAATCGATTAGTGAAACGGCGGGACACATTTATTACAAGTCGCACGGGACAAATCCAATCTGCGGAAACGTTTCAATCATTTTCCCACCGCGATTCGACATCGTATCGAGAGAGTAATAACAATTATCAATTGTTCTCTGTCTCGTACGGGGGACACAAGTCATCATTATCTCTGCAGTGAAGAAAGAGATTTTCTGTCTCTTTTCAACACTTTGATGGCTGGCCTCCATTGGTACATTTCAGATTTTTCTTTGAGACACAGTTTTAGATCGCTACGTGTTATATCCACAAGTTATAGATCAAGTGTTATATAATCGCACCGTTAGATTTCTACGCATTCTATTGTCACGAGTTATATAACCACGCGTTATATTGCCATGAGTTGTGTCATCACGCGTTGTATAACCACGCGTTGGAATTCCATGCATACTATTTTGACGAATTGCATAACCTCGCATTATATCGCCACGCGTTATATCGCCGTGAGTTGTATTACCACGCGTTATATCGCCATAAATCGTATTACCACGCGTTGGAATTCTACGCATTCTATTCTGACGAATTGTATAACCTCGTGTTATATCGCCATGAGTTGTATCGCCACGCGTTATATCGCCATGAGTTGTATTACCACGCGTTATATCGCCATAAATCGTATTACCACGCGTTGGAATTCTACGCATTCTATTCTGACGAATTGTATAACCTCGCGTTATATCGCCATAAGTAATATCACCACGTGTTAGAATTCTACGCATTCTATTGTCATAAATTGTATAACCACGTGTTATATCGCCACGAGTTATATCATCACCCCTCATAAATTGCCACGCATTTAAACGCTTTGGCTTTTAAAAAGTTTTACGACCCCGCTATATCGTAGACAAGACTATGCGACAGAGATGTTTGTGCTGCACACCTGATCGATACGTGCAGTCAGGTGTGCTTCCATCTAACGAGTGCATCGGTAGTGAAAAGCAACAGAGTAAGCATAAAAGGGTTATTATCACTCACCGGTATCGCCATTGCTCTGCGTCGTGGTTTCTTCAGTATCCGCATTTTCGCTGCATGCTACCGATTTTGTTCCATCGTCAACTAGAAACATATATGCAAGTACAGAGGATTGTCATATCATGCACGCGATATCGCGTGACTGGACATTATCAAGTTTACAAATTTGTTTTTCAAAGAATGGCATAATTTTGAAAAATTATTGTTTTGAGCAGCTCTTGCATTCTTACTAGTACTTTAAAATGACATTATATTATATTAAGATACTACATTATGATGCAACTGATCATAAATAAGATATGTGTAGCAAATGTCTATGGACATTTGCTCCATTTGGAACTATTCAAGACAAAGTACAACAATTAAGATAAAGGGTACAAATATAAACTTAATCAAACTACAGTACACTGTCACATTAAATATTATTCATTAAGTATAAAATAGTTACAATTATAAAAATATCTATACAATCTATACAAACATATACAACATAGTACAAAATTCAACAATTTATTTAGATCCTTTTCTTAAACACAAATGTTTTTTGTGGGAAGTATAATGTACAGGTATAGGTATAAAATAATGGGAAGATTTACAGCATTCTATGGGTTCTACTTCTGAAAGAACCACGACTTTGTTGATTCTGGTACTTCATACGGTAAAATTTTTTGCTGTTTGTTACCCCTTGACATCCGTATTCTGGAAAATCTTTGAGTAACAAGGCCTTCCATAATTGAGATTCCGAACAGAGCTCATGGAATTCTGAGCAACACTGTGACATTCTTAATAAGCAATGAACATCCAGCATTCCTAAAATCCTTAGTTTTACTTCGGTTGGAAGTGCTTGTAGACTAGGACCCATTAAGCCCATTGTGTGTAATATATTCGAACGTACTGGAGTACACAATGAGTCTTTAACCCTAATAAACAAAATTATGAAAAAACTGAAATCTTTTTATTGTAATATCATTGTACACTTGTTGTACCTGTGAGAAATTGCTTTTAGGTTCATGTACCGTCCATAACGATCACTTGAATAAGGATTAACATACTTCAGGGTCTGAACAGATATAGTATAAATACATTTGTACTTAATAAATGGAATGAAATTTATGATCAATGTATCACCCAATGGAACCACGACTAGTTTGCATTGCACATTGGCAGGCTCATCCAACTGAAACTTCATCTCATAAGTGTTTGTCCCTTCTTTTTTCCAACCTTTTGGTATTCGAAGAGACCTTAACCTTGAACTGTGACAAACGTGTTTGTGACAGATAACGTCATAAATAGGAATAAAATACTGTCAAATACTGTTGCCTACCATTTTGAACAATCATTACTTGTCGATGACGTATAAAAACCTGATTCTGCCAGTAACACTATTAATAAAGCAACAAGATAATCATGATGGGATGCACCTTCGCCTAAATCGTTTAATATTCCTTCTAATGAAGGTGCTAGTTTCGTATACGTGCTATCTTCCGCTAAAATGGGATCTAACATTTCTGGATTACACTGTAAACAACGATTTCAGATGCATGAGGTTATATCATACTAATAATTTTGCAGTTATGCCATCTGTTTCGAACATTTCTTACAAGACATCGTTCTGCCATCTATGTTTATCTTCTGAGATAAAGTATCCTCGGCAAGGTAAAGAAGAACATTAAAGTGGTAAAAATCTTTTTTCGAAACATCAAAAATCCTTCTTGCAAATACTTTATAATGCAATATCTTCAATTCTTTAATTCGTCTTCAAATGTATGAAACGAACTTGTATGACAATAGATATATACCAATGCATGGTAAAACGATTTGCAACGAAGTAGGATTAATCTCTGGATTATTCCAGGGAAAAATAAAAATTGAGCAACACAAAGAGATAACATCCAGATAATTTTTTATATCCAATGCAGGACTTCAATCTTATCGCGGATCATTTATCGGTGAGTAATTTTCTCGTCGATAACTGAACGGAACACGGTTAAACTTCCGCGGTCATTGATTTAACGATAAAGTATTTATTCCCGACGATATTTTCAAAACGGGCCGTACAACATTTAATTGAAAACCGACGAAACGAGTTATGAAAAAAGAAAGGAGAATAAAAAATCTTGCACGTTTGGCGAACGGCGCTTAACAGCTTTCTTGCTTAACAGCGCCACCAGGAAAATTAAAAATCAGGAGCCAGTCAAACGAAGATAAAATAAATAAAATAAAACCGGTATAGAAACTTGTTACGTTTCTTCCACGAGAACGTGCCAACGGGTTGGTCGATAATTGTGAACAAAATTAATCGTATGTACCGTAGAGTTTACGCGTAAACGCATTGAAGTTGTGATTGCGTTTTGTCCGAAGGGAGCCATCATGTTTACGATCAGATTCAACGTACGCGCAATTACTCTGATTCAGAAAGTTGTTTCTCGATCCCTCACCCACCTGTCTAATAATAATCCTTGTGCCAGTGACGTAATGTTTAATCCGTCGATCATAACAAATACGATAAAATTTCAGTATAAATAAAATTGTACGAGTAAAGAACAATTTGATTCCTAAAGGGAACGTCACAAATATTTATTGCTTTCGAAAGTGGAAATTTCGAACTTTGGGAGTTTAGAATTTCGGAACACCGAGGTTTTATAAATTGATGCATTGTTCATAAAAGATCAAGAACTCCTGTCACAGGACATATGACTTCAAAAATAACGGAACATTTTTAACACTATCAGGAAGACAAAAGTGATCATTTAATCTCCAAATTATCGAAGAAATGAAAGATTCAAGATTGTGACAAACGTAGTTATGATTCCCGAATATTTCTGACATTTCGTACGCGCGGAAATTAAGTGGCATAGGTGGACGATGAGTCACGTGATCTACGACGACATATTAGGTAGGAAATACCGGGGCGCAAAGATGAACCGAAACGGGTTCATAAGTCACTAGATACGTTCCTGTTCGGCATGCAAGAGCGCTCTGTGCCACTTGTTGCATGGCCGCGCTCGACAGTTGTGTTTGAATAAACTGCTTTGAAACTTGTACGAGATATTCTAGCTGGGCTTACATACCGGTGGAGCCGGATGTGTCCGCATCCTCCTGGCACGACGTTTCAGACACTTTCGTTGGTCCATGGGGCACAACACTGGTCACTGCACTTGACACCACCGTCTCGCACGAATCGGCCATTTTCAGGTTAACTCGCGTTTATCTCCAAGGCGGCTAGTTACCTCGCCGCATTCGAATCCGAATCCTTTTTCGAAACTTCCACGCACGCTTCGCGGTTCATAACGCACGACTGCCATGACAGATGGCGGCTCCCTGCTGAGGAGGATGCTGCTGCCATCTGGTGGCCATTTCTCAAACTACTGTGGTTGAAAAGAGTTTCTGACTGGTCTTCAGTGTCGTGCGATACCTGATTGGTTGTAGTTATAACAGTTTCAAACTGTAAACCCTTTGGAGACGGAAATCATTAGGTACGTAAACATCGGTAGGTACAGTGCTTCTGAGGTGCATTTATGTTCGTGCATTGCGAGCACAGTATTATCGACGATAAGGTTGATTAGATTACAAATATCATTTCTCAGAATAAGACCGAATGCAGTGTGGTATTTTTATATCTTTCTTAATTCTTTATATTGCCTTCTGATTGCAAAATTCCTTGATCTCTCATACCGAGAAGTCTATAATTTTCCAGGTAAGATAATTTTCTTTCTCTCTAGTTCCTTCAAGCGCCATCAGATAGTGCAGATAGTACTGTTTTTTAAACTGATTTTATAGGACTTACAAAACCAAAAAATACACACTATTTTTATACTCTCAAATTGGTGCGATTCATTATAAATATAATATTATTATAAGAGTTGATAGAAAGGAAATAACGTTTTGGGTATTCCAAGAACATGTATTGGAAAGATTCAAACAGATCTAATTATAATTTTTTATTTGTACTAAACGTTGCTTAAGTAAACTCATAAAAGATAAAAGATAAACAAACAGGTGTAAGAATTACCATCTATAATAAAAAAATAATAAAATATAAATGGCAATGATTAAATAGTTGTTTAACGTGTCGACCATTAAACGCATAACATAGAGAAACATGATGACATTTTATTTCACAGATAATCAGTGATCAATTAGAAGATTTGCTGGCGGTAAAGATACAGTCCCGTGACCGGAAACAGAATGCGGCAGACTGGAAACTCCCTTCATCCACTTCTCTATATCGCAGCAATAACATTCGACGCTGCTCAAGGTCTTCATGAACACCGTGGTTACTCCACCAATGATCAACAACTGGTCACCTGAAAAATCACATTAATTGTAGCCGATTTTGTAAGTAATATTGCAATCTTTTCATGCAAAGATAAGAATTATAAATTTAAATTTTCGTTACTGTTCATTGTAAATAACGATTCTTCTATTTTTCATGGAACAAAATTTGATAATTGCTTATAGTAACCGAAATCGTGAATAATAGAGTTGCATCAGCACTCCGATTAAAAAAAATATAGTACAAAAAAGGTCAATAAACGTTCGAACGTCGAAATTGCACGAGTCAATAAAACATTTCGCTGGTTTTGTATGATACCTCGATATCGCTAAAACTAACCTATTGACCCTGTGGTGTGTCCGTGTCTCGCGATCGACATATTTGCGTGTTCTCTCCAAACGCAATCGTTTCCGTTCCACACGTCGATGCTGTCGATGCTCTGGGTTCCGTTTTCGGTGGTTGATGCCCCACCGATCACGTAGAGGCAGTCGGATACAACGTAAAAGGAAGCAAAGCACCTGGCTGACCTCAAAGGCACCGCTTTTAACCATCTAAAAGGCACATCAAATATACACGCTCGTATTTATCCGGTGTAAAGATCGATTAATTTAATTCCTGGTTGACACGTTGAAAATTTACCAATTCTAGGAAAGAAAAATTATGGACAATGGCATATTTGAATGCCTGTATAAGGTACATCACAAAACAGTTCTCCAACATATGTATAATATATGAAAGGAACATGTAAGTGATTAGAAATAAAGTAACGAATACCGAGGTAAAATTTATTATCAAAATGAGGTGTACACGCGAGGAAATTGTACTAACAAATTTCTTATTGGGTCATAACATTCGACGTCCTTCGAGAACAGCTCTTTTCTCGATCTTGTCATGCCGCCAGCGACCCAGATTAGGTCTCTATATTTCACGCTGGCTGGTCCTATCCTGGCAGTCTGCATCGGTTGCATCTTTCTCCAAGTAGAATCCGATGGATCGAAAGCCTCTACTGCCTTTAGAGCTCTGAAAACAAGCTTATCCGTTAGAATCGTTATCAGACGCTGGTATCTAAGAATCGGACGACCCATTTGCTTCTTATCGCGTTACATAACCGGGTTGTTTTGCTCGAAGATCATCAGTGGCAATTAATTTGGCGCAGTATCTTACCGTAACAGATTCGAAGATATTGAAAGGGTGCTAAATTAAAAATCAGTAAGAATTATGTAGATCGAAATAACGAATTAGCCAATTAACATTAAGTTATCAAGCAAGAGAAACGTATGTAATGTGTTTTTACTATTTCAAAATATTAGAAGGGCATAAGAAAGAACATTAACGAGCATGGCGTGTTAGATTCTTTACGAGCAGATTAGGCTTAAATGGTATAGCAATTAGCGTTATATAGCGTTCGAAATAAATAGCGATGAAAATGAAGGAAAACGCAGGGGCCGGGTAATTATTCCGCGTGTAACAACTCACATCCCGTTGCTGCATTGCCCTCCTATGGCGTACATTTTCCCATGGCTGACCACCAATCCGAAGTCCTTTCTGGCTGTCAGCATGCCGGGTTCATTGAACCAAGTCCTGGTCGTCGGGTCGTAACTCCACATGCTTCCAACCGCGATGCTCTTCCTGTGCAGTTTGTCTTCCAGCGGATCCGCTCCTCCTGACAATATTTTTCTGTCTTTTTCTCTCGTTTCTCTATACTTTTAATTCCCGTTGAAAAAAACAGTCTCCTATTGTGCAATGAATCTTCTTACGAAAAACAAAGTCGTAAAGAAGATTATATGCCCGTAAGAGTCTCTCGTTAAGCGCCACGTAAACGGAATGGGATTTTTTTTCTCGACTCTGGTTCGTTCAATTTCGTGCTCACGGTGTAAAGAAACGACGGAATAAATTGTATCTCTTTTGTCGCGAGCTAGTTTAGTCTTTTGTCTCACCTACTACGTAAATGCGACCTCTGAGATAGGCGACCGAGTGATGGTGCCGCGCCTGCGGAATTTCGTCCACGAATTCCCAAATGTTTTCGTCAGGTTTAAATCTGTATATGCCCTTGCCCGTGTTACCGGGACCGCACTCTTCGTGGGGATCGACTCCACCGAACACCAGGATCGATTCCCGATCGGGGAAGAACAGAGAATTGTCGAAATAATAGCCGTCCGGATTGCCACTCAACATGCTGGTGCTGATTCGCTGCGGTCTGCAAACGCGTCATTTTCTGAGGATTTTGATGATTCAAGCTACTTGATTTTCCTGCTCCTTAAGAATTTGATCAGACGTTGATACATAGCCTCGTCATTTTACCTTAACGAATATTACCTTCTCGAATACTGATATTGGCTGGATTAGTATAATAAAAGTTCTCAAAATAGGATAGGAGAGAAACATAGTCATATTATCTTTCACTTTATTTCATTCAGATCCCCGCTCCTAAATATTTCAAACCTGCCAGCAGTTCATTGCGTGGGATCCATAGACCGCAAAAGGTTAAAAAGTAGGTATCGATCGACTTGCCTACCTTGATACGGTTTCGTTTATGAATTTGAAAGTAATTCTGATGCAATTCAAAGCTTCTACGATAACCCATTCATTTCGTCGCTCGTCGAAAATAATTAATCAGGACAGTACTCACAGCGGTCGTTTGTAGTTCGATCTTATTTGAACGCTCTTTACGCCCGGTTTCACTCGTCGAGGATTGTCGCCATCTTGATAATTCGTTCCATCGCTCTTCGCTACATTTTTATCGACTGCAGCGTGTTCATCTAAATCCGTCACTATCGATTTAGCCTCCGTCCGCGGAGAGAGAGGTTCGTCCGTGTCCGTGTTGTCCGAAGGGGAACTTGTTTTTTCGTCACAATTCGAGAAAAATACCGGTGATTTTATGGTCCTGATAGGTTTCTGGTTGTCCCGTTGATTCGTCGTATTCTGTGGAATTTGCTTGTTGCTTTGTTTCTCGTAAGTAGCCGAATACGTTTCAAACTAGAGACAATAATAAAAGAGTGTTAGTGTTTCGTAGAAATTGCTAATCCTAACTTATGCAAGACAGAAGGTAGGACTTCTTTTTATATTCGGTTCTAAGCCTACGTTGCAAGTAGGTCGAAACCCTGCTTGACAGTAAAGATATTAGGGAAAATATGGTTTACATGATCCAATTGATCATCAGCGAAGCGTTCTGTATTTCGGACGATCGATTCTCTCGCGTTTTTCCCGGGACTTAATGATCGTGGCCTGTCGTCTTTGTCGTCTCTCGTCTCGTTCCCTAAGCTGTTTGAAATTCTGACGGTCTCCTTGGAGGGATTGCGTGGCGTTTCGTCCATCGGAATGGCTAAAAGTTCCGCTACCTTCTTGATATTCCGCTTCTCCTCCGACGTTGATTTCCTTATCTACCGTTAAGACCAAAAAACACAACAAGTTCTACCTGTAACTTAATCGATGTATCAGACCGAAATGCAATTACGCAATCACCATAACACCCGTATCAAGATCTTGTTTCGAAACAAAGTTTTTCGTAATACGTTCAACTAACCTCGTCGAATCTCCTTCGGGCCTTGTACCCTCTATACACAGCTTGTATCGTGGTGGCTGCCTCTACTTCCGATTTAACGGAGTCAGTTCGTTCTTCCGGTTTGCTCGACATCGCGCATCTCGCCTGCTTTCTCATAGAAAATATCAAATTCGACTCGCGCTGCTGGCACCGGCAAACATCCGTCGCGTTCTTCTCCTGCCGGTTCTCGTAATCCAATTTACCGACATCCTGAGGAGAAGAGAACACCCTGTCGAACTAGAAACACGGAAGTTCTCGCAATCTTTTCGCGACTAGTATTCGCGTTACCGGTAAATTCACGCCACGTTTGCCATGTTCCTGTACACGTTTGTCCTTGCTGGGTGGCTTGTAGGGAAGTTTTGGAGATTCTCCTCCTCCTGTGAATCTGGTATCGGAGGCAGCCTTTCTTTCTTGGTTCTGTATTGTATAATAATTTTTATATTAATTGGAGTAGTCGTTGATGTTCGGTTAAAGGATGTTACAGTACAGTTAAATTACAGTAGGAAATGTTGATGTAAAATACGTTTGTTTAGTGAAATGAATGGAAACTGAATTGTTACGGGGTCGATGTAATCTCAAGGTAAGAGCTTATACGCTGTAAGTGCAGCTTGTACGAGAACGACGGCACACAATGGTATTTGCCCCGACTACTCCAGGGTTTCGGCATTAAAGGCACGGATTTCGAGCAACATAAACTCTGACCTTTGACTACAGCTCCGTGACATTTCTTGGGTGAGATTTATCATTATTTCCACTTACAAGCACGCGGCTTACCTCGAGATTTCTCCGACGATAACCGCGTAATATAATCCCTGAAAGCGAGGAAAACTTTTGAAACGGGCAAATCTGGTCGGACTTCTCATCACGGAATTTGATCGCAAAACGACTCACCGTTCGTAATGATTCCTTTTTTGCCGACATCGAGTTCTACTTAGAAACCTGAATCGCTAGATCGGCTTCGAAATACCGTACACGCATTTTACAAATTCAGCTTTAATAGATAAATATACGATACACGATATAATATACGAGCTAAACGTTTCATTGTACAATCTCTGAATTCGTATTTCTGTCATCCGTCGATAGGAGAAAAAAAATATTTTCTTCATTCGGAACACGTTCTGGGAATCGAGAAATACGAGCATCGCAATTTTGCGACTCCTCTCGGCGAATCGATCATTGAATTCGTCCATTTTGTTGCCTCTGCGTCGATCTTCTATTCGCGTTTGCACCGGGGTTACTCACCCCTTTGCTTCTTTCCAAGCTGCTCAGGTACTCGTTCATGAATTTCGGAGGCATCATCATGCCTTCGGGAATTTCCATCGGTAAATAATTTCCAGTTGCAACCTTCGAGTGCCTTGGATGCACCGCATCGTTATGGATTGCCTGCGTATCGCCTGAAAGACTTATCTTAATTAAAAATCCTCCTACGCGAAAAACATCGTAGGTTTTCGAATCCCTCGAATTCCAAAAGTTTTTCAGATCAGACTCAACTTTGAAAGGGGTTAATTTTAATACCTGAGCTTTTGGTGTAATCGTTCGACGTTCTAGAAGGCGCGAACGCGTAATCGTTAGGGGGTGAGTTAGGAGGGTTCGGCTTTGCCCGATTCTTCCGACTTCTTAATTCCGAAATTTTGGTCCTCTGATACTCTTCGAGATAGAGCAGAAATTCTCGGTACGTTACGTAGTTCTTGAAGAAAATTTACGAAAGCAAATATAAGCCCAAGTATCGGTTTAATTAACGTAACAGATTTAATTTGGTTAAACCTTTAATTTAGTACCTTGTCCTCTCCAGCCCAGTTTCGGTTAGTTGGTTCCGAAAGTCCCAGTAAATCGATCCAGTGGTAATAATCCTCCGTCTGATTACCGTACCAGTATTTAATGATGACAAAACTGATAATAATCACGGTATTATGAAGCGTTTGGTCTTTATGTCGTCGTTTGGGAAAGTGATATAGTCCTTACGCTAAACCGTCGTCTACCATCTTCTGCACCTCGGGAAAAGACATAAGTTCCATGAATTCAGGATTCTCAGGGTTCCTCTTAACGTCCACCAATTGCCACGGAGCTATCAATCCGAATCTGACACATTTTAATACTTGTATCATGAACTGCTTTCTATTCTCCCAGTCATGCATCAGCCAGCGGACAGCGGACATCAGAACTTCCATTTCACTGAACAAAAATTTTAGAATGAATCTCTCTTAAAGGGTCAAATATACAAGTACGATGTTAATAATTTCACCTATTGACAGAGATATAGTTAGATTTGAGCAGGAGACACAACTCGTCAACGGAGAGCTCTAAAAAGTCCTTGGTGCTGACAAGAATCAAGAAGAACTTCATGATCCTGGGTACCATCAGTTCCATAACCGCGTTGTTCTTAATTCTTCTTGCCTCCAAATACAACAAGAACGCGGTGTCTTCCGTGAACAACTCGTCGTTGTCTATAAATGCCCAGCATTGTTCCTCCAATTCTGATAAACGTGATAAAAGAAATTTAAGAACAAAAGCACGATAAGGTAGATTCAAGTTATCATTGTATTTCCAGTGACTCCTACTTCTGCTGCAGAGCGATACAACTTTCCAAGATGGAACCTAAATTTCTCGCGAATACGACGTATCTCCTATTTGCCACGGATCTAGTATGGTTTATTGAAGTTTCGAGTTGGACAGTGACGTATTCAAGTGTGGCATCGAGAGTTCCCCGGAAGCCTATCGCGCCTGGGAAACTTTTCATTCTTTCCCGACAACGGGTTGGAAGTTTTAAACAGTGTTAGAAAGCATCGGCCATATATTACGGAGTGTAGTCGCGTTTTAAAGGATCGATAAAGGAGGTGGTGCGATGTAAACAGGATCATTGCTCGTAAATCCGTCGCATCGACGAAAACGAAGGAAAATTTAGATTTATGCGCCGGTAGTCGAAGGTTATATCCATCCTTAATACGCCAGCTGATAAACGACGCGATTGCTGGTAGATCAGTGCTATGGACCGATGTTAAAATCAGAACGAATCGTGTCGAGTCATAAATTATGTTGGAACGTTCTGAAACGTTCCAGGATTGCAAAGGTGCTTTTAGGTCGTAGAAACATTTTTTCAGATATCGTTTACTGTTCTATCTTTCATTATACGATCATCATTTTGCTACTCAGGACATTTTTTTAAATTTTAAAGAATGCTGGAAAACTTATCAAATTATGTTATACAGTCAGACTTATGATCATTCTAGATATCGATAGTGTTTAGATATTTTTTAATGCATAAATTTAATTCTTCAGATTCATGCGTACCTTTAATTCCAAGGTACTGTGCAGCCGTGAAGACCTCCAAAATGTTGTCCCTCTGTAAAAGGCGATAGCTGTCGTTCTGCGAGCTGATCATCCAGTCGTAAATGATCGAGAACGCTTTCGACGATACTTCCTTCTAACGTAATAAAATTAATCAAATTATTAACATCTATTTCTGTGTCTGTATAAGCTAATTGAATGAAAGGAACGTTAGAAATAGAAGATCGATCCGAGAAGCATTAAAAAAGCACACAGTTCATTCCGCATCCATATATATCCTTCCACTTTTAATTACTGGTCTCCTTGACACCGGAGTGGCAAGAGAAACTCGTCAGCTCCAAGATAATAAGCGAAGAGCGTAAAAATGACAAGGTTTCTTCGAGTAATTGTTAAAGGGCGGGTTATTGGAGGCGCTCTATTCACCCTCGGGTAAAAAGGGTGTCAAATATAGCCGTGGCTAGGCAATATGAAAAGGAGTTCAAGGTCAGTTGGCTTGGAGCCCAGCGAGTCACTGTTGGAGGACAGAAAATAGAAGGGGCCAGAAGAACGGGATGCTGACACAAGAGATTGGGGTCGGTAGCAACCCCTTGCTGTTGCCTACTTGGCGATTTTGAAGCTTCTCTACCGAAGATTTATTGAATCTCGTTCTTTAGCCGAACCGGAAAGTTCAACTAGCGTCGTATATTTATTTGCTCGAGAAGATTGAACCTTGTACGATCCAATAGTCCATGTTTAGGAAAATAGCTCTACCCAATTTGTATCGACCATTCGTATTCCGCACGTGATGTCGTCTAGACGGAAACATGATCTTTCCGGGTTACTGTTTTATCGATACTGACTTTCGGCAGCGCTGCATATTTATATCTACTTCTACCGCAATACCGCTAGAATTTCTTGCAACTCGGACTTTCAGTGAAGGAGTCTTACCACTTCACTTATTTGTCTCTTATGCGCTTCTTCTGGATGCCAAGAGATGACCCACTACATGACTCAGGAGATTCTAGGATAGATTATGCTCAGCTTCGACAAGAAATTTCGCCTCGTGCAAAATATCGAGACCAATCGGGTAACAATACAATTTTCTTCCCGGCCAATTTTCCTGGAAACATTCCGCGTCTATGATGTACAATCACGAAGGTCGATCTGAACATTGTCAAAGTTCGAGTGCAGAGGTGAACGAGTTTCGTCTCGAAGCAAATTCGATGCAGAGGATCAGAGAATCCGGTCGGATCGGTCGTTCCATCGAGAAGATAATGCAAAACGGAAGAAAAAGGACCGAGACTCGATAGCGTGTATATGGAGGCGGAAGATGAACGGAGGCTGGATCCGTCGAACAGAGACGATGGATACGTATACAGATGGGTAGGAGGGCGATGGGCAGAAAATCGGATCGCGCGAACAAAGGGACTTTATTCGGGATCCGGTAGACTGTAGGTTCCGTATACCGATAAGCCCGTAATACATCTTGCTCGGTGCACGAGTATAATGCGTGCGTCGGTTTTCACGGGAGAACCGGAAGGGGCGAAGCATCGTTTCCCGGTGTGTTGTCGCGTAATAAATTATTGTGAAATCCGCGCATGCAGCGACACGATAGCATTAAAAGTATCGAACATAGAAACGTTGACACGTAGCTTCGGTTTCGTTCAATACGCTTCATTAAATGATGAAAATTCACTCGGCGATATTAACCTGATTCCTGTATAAATCATGCTACAAATGAGCGTACAAGCTGATGAACGCTGGGACGAGAATCGCAAAGTTGGGCTTGCAAATCATCCTCTGATTTTAATTGCCTTATGCGACAGATCATTGTTGCTAACAACTTCCTCCGCTTTTTGAAATTTTTTGGAGGGTGTTTTCTCATTAGATATACGGAGTGGAAGGTATATTTTGTCTTCATACGTTCGATAAGATATTGTCAGCGAATCCCATTGTCCCGTCGAGGAAGGAGCATTATTTCCTGGACAAAAAGCGCAATAACTTACCCCGGTCAGATCGATCTCCTTGCAATTCTTCTCGTCGAAGAAGGCGCTGTAGCTCTGCAGCACGAGCAGGTGACAATGGAACTCGTCCTGATCGATTCGTACGATACAATCGGCGTTCCTCGAAAGATCGATCGTGAAATTTAGCCTGTAATCCTGTCGTTGGTCCCCTCCCTAAACTTTGTTACACCCGATCGGATACAACTATAAGCTTACTTGTAATTTGTGATACGCCTGGCCAACTCCTGATACAGGTCGGTCTTCTCCGGGAGAATGATGTTATCCCAATCGATTGGTTGTTCACTCGTAAATCCGAGTCTGCGCGAAATTACGCGGTGATCAGGCGTTATTGGGAAATATCGGGAGAAATCGTCGTGTTATCCGTTATCAAGCGAACGGCTTTCCGTTACGATACCAGAAAAATACGGGTCAACGCAATTTCACGGAAAACCCTGTTTCCATTTCTTTCTGTCGCTACGTCGTTCTGGTTTTCCGTTCGCGTTTTCGAGAAACAACGCAGAGCAGAAACTCGACTTAGCTGATGAACGACACTCACTCTGAAAGTGGCACCTCCTGTAACGTTGACGTCACGAAAGACGTTGACGCTGTCGGTTGTTTTTGCTCCACCATTTCCGTTTGAGCCACCTTCGCCTTGAACGGGTACATTGTGGACCTGTGTTTGTCCTCGACAGCTGGCTGCTTCTTCTGACTCTGATTATGCGACAAACACTCTTAGTACGAACACCTCTTAAATAATTTACCGAATATACTATCTCGGTATTGTCAGAAAAATATTTTCTCTCTGTCCAAAAATTGTTAATGTACCGAAATAATCCGAAACGAACCAAACCAGTAATAATTACCTGCGATTGATTGATCGTCGATGACGAGACACCAGGTGGAAGATCGACGAGCCTCGGTCTGGTCGAGGACTCCGAAGAACGTCCGGCTAGCTCGTTTCCGGCTCTATTGAGTTCAGCCTTGACGTTCACCTTGGTGTGTCGCGGATCAGCCACTAACACGCTGACCTTCTTCGACTCGAATACCACCTAGAATGACTGCGCGTCTGCCTTCAGGCCAACATTCCCAATATTCGCTGATCACAGTCGATCGACCCGAACATTTACCTGATTAGGAACGATCTTCAGGTTGCCGCTCGGGGTCGCTTGGAACGGGAACACTCGCTTCGAGTCGTCGCCGTCGTTCACGCTAATAAATGCACGATCGTCGCCTCGTTCTCGTGGACGAGGGTGTATCTGCTGCATCAGGTACGCCAGGTTCGGATAAACCGTTTCGTTCCTCGGCTGTTTGCAATCACCGTCCCTTCCTGGACTGTGGAACACGTAATATACACTATTGACCGATAGTCTGGAATGTAGTTTGTTAAATAAACACTCGAAACGTATTACGAGAGAATGAGTTAAATATGACGATAATCAAAAGCTATCAGGTGCTGATGGTTATACTGCAGGTAAATAACTAACGAAGCTGTCATGAATTACCAACGTTACAATCAATGATTTACGAAGAGTAGGTATTATAACCGGAAATCATTGCGCGTTCGGATTAATGATGAATAGCAACAGTATCGAGTGTTATATCAACTCATTACTGCAGTTACAGGAATTTCATTCCATACATTCTTTAGCTTCCTACGTCACAAAATCTTTGAATCACATTTCTTGTAACACGGAATGAGTTATCAACAAAATATATAAAAAATGTCGAGTCCAACGTGTCAGTAGTAGATACGTACATGAACCCACAGGTTTGTCGGGTAAGTATAATTGATCTGATTACCTGGGACGAGCCATTAGTTTCAAAACGGAATTATCAGAGGGACGACATCGTTCCCCGAAGGTTCTATCGAACTCCCAATGCTTGTCCGATCTTCCAGCTTGATCGAGATCACCCGAATCGTCGTCCTGGCGTGTAGAAGATCCCTCTTCTGATCTAATCAAATTTTTCGCCGACCTGACCGTGTATCTCACAGGATCGGATCTCTGTTCCGCCAACCGCACCTCTTTCGACGGGACGCGATGATCCTTCGACAAGGATGCGACCTGGAGTACGCGACTGCCCTGATAAATGTGCACGTTGAGTGGCCTTTGCCGCTTCGATGGACGCCGACGTCGTCTCAAAGTATCTTTTCCTCGGTCAATCGGATACGTAGGAGAGCCTTCTTCCGGTGTTTCCAACGGACTCGACCTGCAGCCAAGAGAAAAGAACGAATTCCTAGGATTTGTTCGAGAGTTCGATCCTATCTGATACCAGACGATTCTCCATCTCCTCCTGCTTTCTTTATATTCAATTTGTCGATTACTTTGAAAACGTGTCTCAGAAATCTAATTGATTCGGAGATGGTCCACTGGTTTATTTTCTCGAACACATTAGCTGAGATTAAATTGTCAAAGTTGATATATCTGAGATTTCTAAAATTATTGAAGGTAAAAACTTTCATGAAACTGTATGGAATTTTCAAGTTCTCATTCATTCTCGAGCAACTATCTCCAATATTTCAATTTTCATACTAGACATGTACATTTTTTAAATAATTAGGTAAAATCTTCTTAACATTAACAATATCTTCTCCTACGGTTCTATTTGATTTTACATAAAATGCCATACAGTTTCATTGTATAAAGTACACCTTTAATGTTTTTCAAGATGAACTCCAAATGATAGTTTCATGAGTAGTCATTTCTATCACACAATAATTATATCCCACTGTAATTTTATTTAGCAATTGATTACAACTTGATTTTTCAAACGAAGAAGCGGATAAAATATTTTTATCGCGAAGAGAATTTTACCTTTCGCGACGCAGCGTTTGAACAGTGTCCGCGGACAGATTAGAATCACGTGGAATCACACGTTCCGACTGGGTGGCTCTGAGGGGTGGTTCGGTGGATGTTGAGGCAGGCACGACCGATTTATCGTGATACAGAACAACCACGCTGCTTTTGCTATTTCCGGGTCGCGGCTGGTCATGAATTACCAACGTTACAATCAATGATTTACGAAGAGTAGGTATTATAACCGGAAATCATTGCGCGTTCGGATTAATGATGAATAGCAACAGTATCGAGTGTTATATCAACTCATTACTGCAGTTACAGGAATTTCATTCCATACATTCTTTAGCTTCCTACGTCACAAAATCTTTGAATCACATTTCTTGTAACACGGAATGAGTTATCAACAAAATATATAAAAAATGTCGAGTCCAACGTGTCAGTAGTAGATACGTACATGAACCCACAGGTTTGTCGGGTAAGTATAATTGATCTGATTACCTGGGACGAGCCATTAGTTTCAAAACGGAATTATCAGAGGGACGACATCGTTCCCCGAAGGTTCTATCGAACTCCCAATGCTTGTCCGATCTTCCAGCTTGATCGAGATCACCCGAATCGTCGTCCTGGCGTGTAGAAGATCCCTCTTCTGATCTAATCAAATTTTTCGCCGACCTGACCGTGTATCTCACAGGATCGGATCTCTGTTCCGCCAACCGCACCTCTTTCGACGGGACGCGATGATCCTTCGACAAGGATGCGACCTGGAGTACGCGACTGCCCTGATAAATGTGCACGTTGAGTGGCCTTTGCCGCTTCGATGGACGCCGACGTCGTCTCAAAGTATCTTTTCCTCGGTCAATCGGATACGTAGGAGAGCCTTCTTCCGGTGTTTCCAACGGACTCGACCTGCAGCCAAGAGAAAAGAACGAATTCCTAGGATTTGTTCGAGAGTTCGATCCTATCTGATACCAGACGATTCTCCATCTCCTCCTGCTTTCTTTATATTCAATTTGTCGATTACTTTGAAAACGTGTCTCAGAAATCTAATTGATTCGGAGATGGTCCACTGGTTTATTTTCTCGAACACATTAGCTGAGATTAAATTGTCAAAGTTGATATATCTGAGATTTCTAAAATTATTGAAGGTAAAAACTTTCATGAAACTGTATGGAATTTTCAAGTTCTCATTCATTCTCGAGCAACTATCTCCAATATTTCAATTTTCATACTAGACATGTACATTTTTTAAATAATTAGGTAAAATCTTCTTAACATTAACAATATCTTCTCCTACGGTTCTATTTGATTTTACATAAAATGCCATACAGTTTCATTGTATAAAGTACACCTTTAATGTTTTTCAAGATGAACTCCAAATGATAGTTTCATGAGTAGTCATTTCTATCACACAATAATTATATCCCACTGTAATTTTATTTAGCAATTGATTACAACTTGATTTTTCAAACGAAGAAGCGGATAAAATATTTTTATCGCGAAGAGAATTTTACCTTTCGCGACGCAGCGTTTGAACAGTGTCCGCGGACAGATTAGAATCACGTGGAATCACACGTTCCGACTGGGTGGCTCTGAGGGGTGGTTCGGTGGATGTTGAGGCAGGCACGACCGATTTATCGTGATACAGAACAACCACGCTGCTTTTGCTATTTCCGGGTCGCGGCTGTTCCGCTGATTCCGATCGATCCTCGTCCGCTTCGACTACGAACGTCCTGGGATTAAATTACCGCCCCTCGCGAGGATGTCGGTCGCGTGCTTTCCGCCGGCGTGGCTGTTCGTCGAGCTGCTGGCCCCGCTTCCAGTTACTCGTAAATTGTCGCGTTCCTTGCTAAGGAACAGATAGGCGAACAGGAACACAGCGAAGAGGAACAAATACATGGAATCAGGGGCAGCGGCTCGAGATACGTCGAGTTTGCGGGCTTTCGGGCCTTGGGGTTGATCGGTATCGCTACAAATAACCAGAAAACCAGCGTTTCAGATTCGTGCATTGTCAGAAATCTCATGGTTCAAATATCGATTCGATTTAAATTTACCGGAATACAAATAACTAGAAAACCTTCGGATAGAAACAGGGTGAAAATTCTGCTAATAGATTTGCTATTTAAATTGATTTAAATTTATCGGAATACGTCATGGAGTTTCAGAAATTGACTAAAGTGTTGATAATTTATGGAATTAGACTATTTGAAACGGTTCAAATTTATCAGAATACAAATAACCAGTGAACCAACTTCTAATAGGCGGATTATCAGAAATCGCCTACGGCTGAAATACTGCTGATGTGCAAGATTATATTGTTTGAAACGATTTAAATTAAGAAGTAAAATTTGATTATATCATTAGGGAAGTGTAATGTGCCTGTTTATCGTGATTGTATGATAGATATGAAGTTTGTGTTCAGTGAGCTTTTTGCTGTGAAGTCGCTTTTTGAAATATCATTGATTGATGGTTTCGTGTCGATGAACTGGATTATACAGAAGTCGTGAAGAATGAGGGAGAAGGATGAGGAAGGTATTTTTGTTAAAATGTTGATCGAGAAACGATTGTATTTGATTTATGGTGTAATGTGATTTCTTATGATTTATCTTTGAAATAATTATTGTATATTTTAGAATTTGTTAGAATTGTGGTACGATAAAATTGAATGTTATGAACCCCTAAAATGTTAACATTTGTTTAGATTTCACACGTGTATATATTCACACATAGAAATGTTAATAAAGTTGCAGGTTTATCACTCAATTATTTTTCTTTAATTATATGTAAAGGTTTCTGAGACGATTAATCATGTTATTTCGTAGTCACCCCCAAAACCCGAGCACGCAGAGGCCTAATATCGTAATTTTTACTCGGGGAACTTACATTTCTTGCTATTTCGACGAATCGCTCTGATTATTCGTGGTGTGCTTTTCCCACCCCTGCTGTCAAGGGAGCGCATTAGGTGTCGTTATAATGATTTGAGTACGTGATTTAAGAGCGTACACGTGACTCGCTCAACTTTTCGGATAATTACCAAAGTTTCACGAGGGATTTCCCGTTAAGATCCTCACCGCTGCTGGAACACTTCTCCGTAACGAAAGTTACCTGAGGCTGTAATAATATTAGTAGTGAGAGCACATAAAAATTAATTATTGCTTTTCATTTTACACATAATTCTGTACCTTTTGTTATTTATCTGATATTCTACAGAAAATTCAAGATTAATTATAGTTGTCGAAACACAGCATATTAAAGGAGTCTTTATGAAATGTTCCGCGGTCAAATTTTTCTCTTTTGTTTCAATTTCTAAACTTGTTCAAATAGTTGATTGAAATGCTTTTGAAAATCGAACTGAAACTGCGATACGGTCATCGGTTCGTCACAAAAGGTAGTTTAAAGTTCAAAGCCCAAAACGAGCTTCAAAGCATCGTTTATATAACAGATATTTTCAACGAAAAAATACAATACGTGACGTTGAATGACGTAAATGGAGACTTGCAAAGTTAAAATAGTTATACATGTACCCATTGTATCATAACCGATAGTTAACATGTATTGTTTCCGGTGAAACGTCTAAGCTTTGCATTCTAATTCTTTCGTATTTTTACAAATACACGTTCATCCTAACATTCTTTGTTCTTGACAAATATGTAATTTATTAATAATTCGACCAACCTGATGCTTTTCCTGTTGACCATAACTTTGAAGACTCCACTCGCGGTGACTCCTGTTTTCACCTATTTGTTCAGATGCTGAAGCGTATACGTAGGATCACATACATATCAATTTTGTAGAATCAACGTTTTAGGTTACATGTTGCAAAAATGTGAAAAACCAGAAATTTCATGTCCTAAAACGTTTCTATCAGCACTTACGTAATTTTGTGTGATCAGATTTTACGGAGCAGCGACAGTGATCAGATCTCGCAGACGCCTTGAAGAGATTTAACAAATTCTTTCTCGTATCTTTCGGATCACGACGCTGATATATCGAAGCTTGACCGGATCTCGTAACTCTGATGAAAATTAATCGATAGAATTCTGATAGACATTTCATCTTTCTCATCTAACATTTTACCTAGGATTTAGCAGATCGATCTCCGAGGAAAGATAAGAATCGTCTTCGGTAGTTGCAGGCGTTCTGGATTTCTTCTGGAAAGATATCAACGGAATCCAAACGGACAGATGAAATATTTAAAAAGTCTTTTAGCATGTTTGCGATTCAGCTAGCCAGACCGTACTCACGTCATAACGCGTTAAACCAGTTCGCATGGTACGAGTCACATTCGCTCAGGCGGAAGCCACTTTCAGGACCGGCGTCATCGCAAAAAACGTCACTGTTTCGCTTCCGTCGGCGTGGTTTGTAAGAGGAACCGCTGAAATTGTACGACGTAGGAACGGGTGATTCGACGATCAAAACGACCGGGACATTTGTAAAAGTACGCAGAGCAGAAGGAGAGGACGGAAGTTGTAGAGTGTCCAAAAAGAGGCCATAGAAACCAAACACGCGACGAACGTGCTCACAGAACATGTGATCCCACAATTCTCGTTTGCTTTTTTTATCGCAAAATCCGTCAATATTAACCCTTTAATCTGTCATATTGGCTTCCGTTCGCAAACATGCTCTATGGTTGAGTTGCTTGTGAAAAATATTAAATGAACAAATATTTGCTAACGAAACACAAGCACCAGGGGAAATTTGTTTATTTCTCTGTAACTATCGTTATGGCTCGGTGTTTGTAATCATCCTTCGTAAACACGTTATCGTAGAATATTTTCAAACTGTGACGCAAAAAGATGGAGGAACGCTCAGAGAGGGACATTATCGACCGAGAGTGAAGTTTTACTTCGTCGTAAATTCTACTTTTACGAGCTCGCTGAAGCTACCTAGTCAGTTTTACGTAAGCTTGTTCGCTAGCTTTAAAAACTTGTCTTCAGTGTACCTCGTTCGTTGACCTACATATTTTATGCAGCTTCTATGAACTTGGGACTACTTGTCTAAAACAGATCGTAAGGGATTAAAAATTGCGACGTTGGAAAATTGAGAAAAATGTTATTAATCCATTCTTTTCGATATTGCGTCCAATTTTATAGCACGTTGAAATTTTGCAATTTAAAGTGCGAATTATGAGATGGTATTACATGCTGAAGTTAAGATTAGAGGTTATAGGGCAATATTATATTTTGTAATTTAAAAGATAGATTACAAGATGATGTTACATTTTGCGGTTTAAGAGGTACGTTAAATATTGCAATTTAAACCAAAGATAGGATACATTTTGCACTTTAAAAAATAGGTTATATCTTGCAGTTTAGTTCGTGAGACTGCTAAAATTATATTGCACTGTAGTATAAGACATTGAGACAGTAATTTCTACATGGTTGTGCGTATTACAATGTTTCTTAAAAATTCCGTCGTAAAAACGTCTTGAAAATTGCATCGTGTAGAATATACAGATAAACCCGTCTTAAAAGGACGATAAAATAATCCTTCATAAACCTTCCGTAAGATTTTATGAAGGAGATAAATTCGGGTACACAAAAGAGGTAGCCAGGAGGGTAGAAGCGTTGCAATCCAGAAGTCCCGGGAAACAGCTGATCGTAGCTCGAATGTAGAACGTCCACGTGTTGAACCACGCGAGCTTTCCAGCGTATCCCGGTTGCCTTCGGTTAAACGCAACCAGACGTAAATAGAGACACAATGAATCTCCCCTCGACGGAAGAGAAAGAGCGAAAAGGAGGGATGGTCCGGGTAGATGAAAATCAGAGGTGAAGCTGGTATTTGGGTTTCACGGAGGAGAAGATGGCTCGTAGAAGGGAGAAACCAGAGAGGGTTGAAGCGTGGGTGGTGGTGGTGGTGGTGGCTGGCAGGCTGCATCGATCGCTTCAGCGTCCTGGTGACCTCGACCTAATGCCACCCTCTTCTGCTCTTGAGCATAACCCTCCTACCGTTTCCTCCGCTTCGCTAGCCCGACAGCCGCGGGGTCAGTTAGCACCCCCGTCAAAACACACAAAGCCCCGGGAATCGTGGAGGGTCGTGAAGAACGAAAGAGGGAGGCCGGGAAGAGAGAGGTGTTCAACTCGAAAGTGTCGCTCGTGCTTTTGATACATTGAATTAAACCGGCCATTTGTTCCGGTCAACGACGAGCCAACTGAATCGAGTGCTTCGCTTAATCCGCCTCCCCGTGCAGGCTACGAGATAATGCTTTCTGAAATGAATTGGGAGAACTTCGTTTCCTTCTTATTGGATAGCTGGTAATTGTTCTCGACGAACCTGTAGATTTATCGCCTTATTTGCCGATAACTGATGTTTGCGGACCTTGCGGTCGACAAATGGAATAATGCGTGGACCTTGTAATCGTTTCGTTCGAACAAGTTCGTGATGGTATAAGGTATAAGGTGATAACCGAGATACATAAAAGGAGTTATTCCTCATGCATAAGTGGAACATCGCAAATTTTTCTCGCGAAACTTTGTAGGACACATCTAACTAGACACGTTGGATGTCCAGATTCTAGCAATATTTGGAATCCTAGGATATTTCCACTTAGGAATATTAGGTTTCCAAGGATAGAGATAGCAATGTAAGTATGAATATTGGAATCTAGAGTGATGCAGATAGAGGAATCTAGAGATTGAGGCATCTAAGCATCTAGAAATCTAAATACGTACAAATCTAGGTATCTAGACAGAAACTTAGCAATCTATATCTATCGGACCTAGAAATCGTGAAATCTGAAAATTCCTGAATGTAATCCACATGCGTGATTCTCCTCCATATTAAATGAATCTTCAAAAACGCAACATATTTTTGACCCCAAGAAGAACAGTGTAGGACTAACGTCACAAATGGTTGTTCGCTAACCCGAAGATTAGCCAAACGCGCCACGAAAAAGCCACGATTGTTCGATTCGATTTGGATCGATCGCGTCCGCGTTTCCGAGCGTGGTCACCTGCCGGGCGTCCGAGCATCGATCAACGCGATTGTTCACGACACAAATTCCTGGGTCGCGCGTCCAAATCGACGACAGACAAATATCTCTGGCCAGGCATGCACACGCTCGATGCACGCGATTCCGTTTGTGTCAGCGAAACGGGAATTGCCGCGGAAACGAGTCGGCTCGATATTGCGGGCCGGTTTACAGCGGACGATATTAAGTCTCGCGCAAACGGCTGGAGGCCGACGACGACGGTGCAATAAACCCAACGTGAAACTGACGATATTATTGCGCCGGGCTCATTTGCCTCGTCATCTTGTGGATCGTAGACCGTGCCGGGTGTCTTTATGCAGATGAATCTGCTTCGCTGAACGGTTAGCTTCTGTCTGATCATACTAATCCCTTCTGGCGACTTGGTACCTATTCGAACGCGGTTTTATAGCGTAATTTGCTCTTCATGAGTAGGCACATACTCGAAGCGAATTCTTAGTTCGCTGATTAGTTTCATGGTTGGTTTTATCGCTATCGAAGAACCGCACGTGGACTTGACACTTTTGTCTTCACTTTTCAGCCGAATCTTCCGCAATATTATATCTTTTCTTCGGTAAAATTAAGGTCTTTTACCGTGTATTAGTCGATGTTAAAATTGTCGGTTGCATTCAAACTAAATCCCTGTTATTCGATTCAACATGCATCTGCCATTTCTTAGGGGAACCCATAACCTCACGTAACGCGTTTTAACGGTAATACATCTCCGCGATGTGCGAGGATCAGTACCCATGTAGCGTTCTACACCATCTTCCGTCACGATCGTAATAAAACACCAGCTGCACCCGGCAAGCATCCAGTTTTTCCTTCGGAAAGCGGGACAGGTTATCCGCTGATCGGTTCATGAATACATAGCCTTATGGTAAACGCGTAACCGTGTCCCTAATCAGGCTGCAGCGATACGGTTGACGTCGTTAATGCAACGAACCCGAGGATCGTCTACCGAAACGGGTGATTTTCGTAACGTCGATTATTCGATGAACCCGATCGAACGAGAAGGCTCTTTCTCTCTCGTTCGCGTACGAGTCGACCGTTATCGGATCGTCATGAATATGAATACCTGTCAATAATGATACTACCGTGTAATGGTAATAATGGTAATCCATGGACAATAGGGCGTCGTAATTTCGCACGGATGAGCGAGACGCGTCACCGGAACGCTCGCAGAATATGGAAGGTGTCGGTCGCCGCTATAATTCGTTCGATCTGCACCCACCTGTATATCTATACCTTTTTTATTTCTTTCCACAAAGTATGCAAAGAGAAACAATGCTGGAAAGTGCATGCGTGAAACTGAACGCCACCATTCTCGTCGAACGATGACGGCTTTGATGCCGGTAATTGAGCTACATCTAGTTCCACCAGCAACAGAATTAGCGGCCGTGTAACTGTTGACCCCACGATGAAAGGTAATCACGGTCTGTACACGGTATGTTGTGTTCTTCACCGTTACTCCGAACACCAGCTGTATTCAAGGTTTGAATAGCTCAACAGAGACGGAATACGGAATTTGTAGTTTGATTTTGCGATGAATATTTAGCAGCAAACAGCGGACCGATTGCTCTTTGAAAAGTTAATTTCGAACCTTTCAATTATATTTCTTCGATTGTATGTTGAACTTTGGGGTGTTGGGATTAGTTTTGGGGGTCGGGATTTGGGATTTGGTGATGTGGTGATTTGGGTGTTTGGGAATTTTGGGATATGGTGGATTGGGGTTTGGGAATGTGAGAATTCGAGTATTTGGTTTTTTGGGAATTTGGAAAAGGGCAATGTGGGAATTGGGGAATGTGGGAATGGGGAAATTTGGAATTG